ATTGGCTATGGTGATATTTACAATAAAAAATCATTAAAGATATAAAATGATGTTTTATGGAATTTCTATGAAGGATTACCCAATTTTTCATATGGTAGCATGAATAGTTTGATGAGCACATAGGTCAATATTCTTTTCTTTTTTTTTTTGTGTTACTTCAAAATATTGTTGGGTTCAAATATAAACTTACCAGCAGGAATCCCAGAGTCTTGGGGTTATAGGTACCGAACCTGGCAGATTTGTCATAAAACTTCAGCAAATTGTCAAGTGGCCGGAGCCTTGTCAGAAATGTATCATTCCGATCCATCGATAGCCACCAGCCTAGAAGAAAAAGAAAAAATGTCACAGAATTTGGCACAAATGTGTTTAGGGAAAACATTATTCAAAGAGGAACAAGATTTACCACTGTCATTCAGGTCGTTCACAAATGTTTGTTGGAAGCTGGACAAAGTTTGAAAAAAAAAAAAAAAAAAAAAAAATTAAATAAAAATTAGAATTATATAATGAAGGGTTTTTTTTTTACCTGAATGGTGAGAAATTGCTAAATATCTGCAGGGAAATCAATAGTTGTGAAAATCTGGATAAGAACAACTTAAACATCCAAACTTACATGACATTTTGGAGTCCCAGAGAGAGACGGAGACAAGGAGGGAGGGAGAGTGAGACAAGAGTTTTAAAGGAAAGCACAAATGTCTTATTTTAATTTAAATTCATTTTATTTTGTTTATATTTTATTGGGACTCACAACAAAAATGTAAAATATTAATTTAAGACTTGAAAAAAAAAAAAAAAAAAAAAAAAATTATCTGAATTTTTTTATCTGAATGAGGAGTTATTTACAGTCAGACAAGTCCTCATCTTTGTTATAATTAACATCTTCAGCTATCTATAGTACCATTTTCAATGAGCAAATGCACTACCAGGCTCAGGAGTTGAACTCTATGCCAACAAAATTCACAAAACAATACTTAATTCCTTTAAGCTGTTGTCCTATGAGACACACCTGAAGCAGGAAATTGGAAACTTAAACTAGGTTCTTGTTGTCCCATCTGCTGTTGCAGCTTTGTTATTAAGCTAAATTGTCTGAAGTTATTTCTTTCTTTATTAATAGCACCCATGTGAAATTTATGTCTATGCTATGTTTAGCATATGCACAGATTCCTTCAGACATTTGATTTTACCATTTAAGCCATAGCTGAGAGAGAAAGATGGATTCATACCTTAATTCAAATGTATTTACACATAAGTGAATGTAAACTTAACTGGAAATTGAACTGTTCTGACTTCTCATTCTGAGTAGCTATCATTAAACCACCACCCACACATCCACCTTGTCATATGATATGAAGTTGAGACATCAAGCATGCTGAATAAAAAGTATTGAACTATATTTGATATGACCTTGTTCCTAATGTTCAATCATCACATCATTTTGTCATCAGTAACTAAAATGGCTCCCCCCAACAGACTTTTCTGGTGAGGAGGGTGGCTAGACACTCAGCAGGTTATCCTGGGTATGACGATAAACTACATCCAGCAGCAAGATCTCTGACTGGGAGATTGGAGGTTTTGAGGAGTATGAAGCCACCTCTTAACTGCTGTTGTTCCCAGGTCCACACTGACCTGAGGTTGCAGTAAATAGTGAACACCCAAACAAAAAGCAGTATATTTTTATAATAAAATTACCAACAATATATTTTTATAGTAAAATGAGAATACAAAAAAACAAAAAAAAAATAAATAAATAAAAATACATTTTTATAAAAAAAATTACTAACAGTATATTTTTATAGTGAAATTACCCACAATCATTAGAAAAAAAAAAAGTTACCAACAATATATTTTATCATCTAAAAAACATGTTTACCCTGAAAGTATAGAATTATGTACAAAATATTTCAATTTCAGCATTAAATAAGCCATAGAGGTTAATATGACACTAAACAATCAACATTCAGCAGGATTACATACAAGACGTACTATCAAAGGTTGGACAAATCTTGTAGGGGGTTCAATGGGCAACTAGCACAGTAGGGTAGACTGGGGTCCATAGCGATGGATGCAACCAATGCAGTGTGGACATGTCACTTTAGGCAATGGACTAATTTTTCTACTAGAATTTTACAAGTCAAAAAATTATGGACATATACTATCAAAGGATTGACATTTTCAAACAACAAATAATGAGTGATAAATTGAAGGCTTCATAGAACTCTTGAAATAATTCCAGATCCAAGGAAGAAAATTTCCTAATGATCTCATTCTTTACTGTCAAGAGAGAAAATTTTGTTTTTTATCAGACCAAAAATGGAGTATTACTGCCATATCTGGGCTGGAGCTGCAGGTTTCGATAGGGTCCAAAAGCATCTTTGCATTTTTATGGGTGACAAATTATTTTCAACCATACAATACCTTTCCCACAGATGAAACATCTTGAGCTGCTCACTACTATATCACTATTTCCATGATAAAGTTCTATTCCTCGATCCAACCAACCCTGACCTCAATGAAATTTCATTCGGACAGTCTCTCCAAACCGTCCACAAAAAAAAAAAAAAAAAAAAAAAAAATGCTGCTTTGTGAAAGACTCAATAGGATGTTTTCCTAATCACTACAATCTTGACCTCTTTCAGTCTAGAGTTCAATGTAATCTTTCATGCATAACCTTATGATCCTCACTTCTCTTACACTCCTACAACTTGACAGTAATACTCTACTTAGAATGGCTCTTGGGCCTTGTATCAATTCAACATTAGTCCATATACACACATTCTCTCATATATATATATATATATATATATATATATATATATATATAGAGAGAGAGAGAGAGATCATAGAGATTTAAACATTTTAAGTTAATATTTTTGCCTTAATTTTTTTTTAACTAATATATCTTATGTTAAGACATCCAGTTTTTCAAGTGTTTTAAGCACGAAACAAATGATTTTTTTTCTGTCCTCAGTTCAGCTAACCATTATAAGTTATAATTTATTCCTAAATAAATAGTTGACTAATCCCAAGATTAAATCTTGCTACATCAAAATTGTGTCAGATTAAGATAAGCTTAGTAAATAGTCTTGTAGGATTATAAAATTGATATTGTACAGAAATCTAAAAAAGAGAAAAAAAAAAAATATTTCTGTATTAAATCGTAACCAGTTGAATCAATGAAACTCATACTTAGCATAAACAACTGAAATTAAATCAATTGTTTGTGAACAAATGCCATTACTCTGCTACTTGTTCATACAGGTTAGGTATGATAACCATGTCAATATTGAGGTGTGTATGTTTAAATAAAAGGGTTGTTCGAGTTGCCTCTCATTTTCAATAACTATTGCAATTTCAATTTATCTGCTTAACTTCTATTCTTTTCTAATAATTAGTTTCTGACAAGAGGAACAGAAATTATCAAACAATCTGATCATTTTTTTTTCTTAAATCTTCAATATAGAATCTATATGGCTCATAAAAAAAAACCCATTAAGGATTTGTGCTTAGGAATTAATACAAACACTACCGAGAGAAAAAGACTATTATAGTTTCGATGTAAATACATTGTAAATAACTTTGAAATTTATAGAAAATAAAATTGATATTCCAATTTCAGGAGACTGAAAAAAAAAAAAAAAACTGAAAAGGACAAACACTTTTGTTCTTACATACCACGATACCAGAGAGTTAGCAGACTACAGTCAAAAATCAGAATGACATCTTAGTTTAGCCGACAGACCATATGAACATCTATTTTTTTTCCTTTGGTTTGATCCAAATAATTCCTAGTATTTTATGTTTGATGGCAGAAGTGGAAGTTCAGGTTTAATAACAAATTTTTGTTACTTTTTATTTTTTCAGATAGCAAAACAGAGGTGTGGAAAGAAAAAAAAAGTAAAAGTAAAAGTGGTGCCCATTAATGTTTAATACTTGATAAGCATTAAGCAAGACCTAGTGTCGAAATTTAGGTGGAGAGTAATACACTTCAACAGTAGTGACAATGTGCATCAAGCCAAATTTTGGGCAGCCATGAACAGGCTCTTGTTCATCATTGGGGGTAAAAAATGTGAAGCCAACGTTGCTAAGTTTAGTGGGGGGTTGCTGAAAACTTTATCAAGTACTATTATAGCCATATATCAATGGGTGCTGGCAGAAAGCACGGACATCTGTGCAAGAATCATGCTGGCAGTATAGCATCTTCAGTCAATTATCCAAGTATGCATAACCCGCAGGACAGACTAACAACGACAACTTCCTTCAAGATGGAAATAAGATTTGCTGTGTTATATTGTGTCTAGTTACATAGTTTCCTCTTCATCGCCAAAGCCCACTGGCATGATACTGGTGCTGTATCATAATGGTCTGGGTTCAATTCTTGGTAGTGCATGCACACTTCTGATGAAACCCAAAATAGGATGAAATGGCCATCCAGTGCTTCTTCTGAGGTTTCTAGGTAAAAACAAGATGAATTATGAAAACTTATTCAAATCTCCAAATTCCTATATATATATATATATATATATATATATATATATATATATATATGTATGTGCGTGCATGTTGTAGCATACCTACAGACAATAATGGGAATGTCCTCATTCACATAAATACATTAGTAAATACTGTATGTTGGTCTACAGTTGGAGATTTGTCTCCAGCTGTGCTGGGCTTACTCTCTTCCTCCAGGCAGAGTCTGGTCTCAAGAAACAGCTATCTGACCCTGTTTTATTCAGAATCTATGGGGGAATTTTTGGCCAAGCCTATGGGCTTGGATACCTCACATTAAATTCAGCCTTGTGCCACATCTGACTGCATAGGGGCGGTTGGTAGATATCTTGCCATTGGAGATTCAGTGTGGAATTCACTTGACTCACTTCTAGCAGTTGACTACTTCTTGACTTCATCATACCACTGGCAAATTTTACATGTATTGTTACTGTCCTAAGTATTATCATTCATTACCAACCTTCGCTTGATTATTCTATTCAGTAACCTTCTCTAGGTTACATTTTGGCAATGAGGATTAGCCAAAATTGCAACAGAGAGAGAGAGAGAGAGAGAGAGAGAAAGAGAGAGAGAGTACCCATTTTTATGATTTCAGGATATGCTGGATCTTTGAATACAGCACAGCTACAGTTTAATATCTTTTTGCAATTACATTAAAACTTCCGATTTTTTTAAATTGCTAAAATTAAATTCATCACAAGGAAAAACTAATACAGCATCTTAAGTGAAATGAAAAATAAGATTAAAAAAAAAAAAAAAAAAAAAAAAAAAAGGAGCTTTTTGGAATATGAATTTATTCTATTATCAGAAAGATGATATTGTAGTAAAAAAAAAGTTTTTTTTTTTTTTTAATGCTTACCATCAAAACTGTGGATGGGATAATTGCATAAAAGCCCTCCATCAACATAACACTTTTCCTCACCTTTCCCAATGCCATAACGTGGTGGGGTGAACATCCCTGGGATCGATATAGACATGCGAAGAGATAGGCGAACTGGCATGTGGGGTGTTGTCTTTGGATGGCAATATTCTACAGCCATATGATTCACATTGGTCACCACAACACACAGTTCCTTTCCATATCTCTTGTACACCTGGAGAAAGAAAAAAGAAAATTATTTCAAGGGTTGGAAACCAAAAGTTTATAACCAATTAAATGCAGCAGGAATTTCTATTTACATTTAAATATGTATTTACATAAAAAAAATTGTGAAGTTGTTCCATGTCTCCATTAGCCAAAATTCTTTATTGCTTTTGATCTTCTCAAATAGTGTCACATTCTCAGTAATGACATTTGTTAGAGAGTAGAATTTTTGGCCAGTGTCAGTTTCTAGTTATAGAATTTAAGAATTCTTCCCCCCCCCCACCGAAAATGCAAACTCAACATCACCCAACAATGATAACATTGAGGAGTATCCTGTATTAAAAAGGTACTCCAAAAAAACAATAATACAGAGGTAATGGCCAAGATGTGACAACCATTGAATCTACGGAGGCCAATAATGGCCAAAATAAAAAGACCCAAGATTCAAACAAAATAAGTGATAATGCAGAGGTCAGGGAATCATTCTGTTACTGGAAGTACCCCTCTAAATGCATTATCAATATGGCAGAATTTTTTGAGCGTGCCACGTGCTATGCTCACCTTGTGGTAGAATGGGAACTCTTGGAAGACCCCAAGAACTAAAGAAAGTTGAAAAATGAACAGTATTAGTCTTTGTAGTGGAAAAGCATGTGCACAAAATCTGTTGCTCCACAAAAGACACAGTAGTGAAATCACTGGAGTCCCTGTGGGTTAAGCCCCAAAGAATTGTTATGGCTGAAGGCTACTTCATGTAGGACATTGCTACCTACACCTGAAGAGTGCATGAAGGCATTGAATCAGAATCTAAACACAAAAAATCTGATCCTTAGGATTGAGCATGAAGACAGGCTGGCAATATTCAAGGTCCCTCCTAAGGTTATCTGCAAGCATCTAGCTGCATACTTTTCACAGTATGGATACATACTAGGTGATACTTGTGATAGAGTGACTGGGGGATGGAGTTTTGAAATAATGTTGGACTAGAAAGCCTTTTACTCTATTTCCAACTGTCTGGAAGTAGGGGGCCTGAAGTTGCCAGTCATTGTGACTGGCCATAAACCAACATGTAGAGAGGCTCGCCACCTCTCCTCTTCCTGCCCAGAGAAGGTGGCCTCTGGAATTCAGGCCTCATTCGATCACCCCCCCCCCTCTGACCACGTTTTAGTTCCACTTTGCCTGTGATGGGATGCCAGCTTCTGGGACTGGTGTGGTTAAAGCCCTGATTGGGTTGAAGCTCACATTCCCCGAAGAGCCTTTGCCCACTGCTAGTGCAGTGGTGGAGAAGGGAGAGGAGGAATGGCTGGTTGCTGGTAGGGCCAGAGGGAAGCAGCAGACAGTGGGGCCTGAGTCCCCTGAATGAAAGGCACAAACCAACCCACTCCCTCTACCAGTGTTAAGGGCGATGCCGCAGTTTCTAAAGCAAATACTACTTTGGAGAAACAAAAGAAAAAAATATGATCCTTGTTTTGAGAAAATGGAAAAATAAAAAGCTCAAGGGGAAATTGAATGCCAACACAAAATTGTCATCTTCAACTCCCAAAAAGGCAGCTCCCTTTTTGACCTCTACCTCATCCTCCCCTATTTGAAAAGCAGTCACAAAACCATTGACCACACATTTGTCCCCGTGTAAAATTATCCCACTCAGAGATTCCATCCTGAAATGCCTTCACCTTCAAAATGCCAGAGAAGTCCATCAGCAAAAGTGATGGAAAGGAGGATAAAACAGAACAAACTCCCATACAATCTAGGCGAGGATGTCTGTTGCAGTTCCCTGGCACAGGTGAAAGAGCCAAAATCTATGGAAACAGAATAAAAAAAAAAAAAAATAAAATAACACTAAGGTACTTATAGCCCATAAGGCAATATGCCAACAAAGATGTCAAGGTACCAACTAATTTTCCCACAGCAGAGCATATTCTGATAGTCATCCATACTGGGTTGGGTACGCGGCAGTCATGGGGTATGGTCAAGGAGGCCGTAAGATCATTTAATACGTTGCCCCCACCTTGCCATTTTTGACAAAGACATCTGAAAGTTAAAACAGTTCTGTTCAGGGAGGGTCCCAGTTTTAGTTCATCCCTCCCTCTATAGGGCACTAAAACTAACTTTTCCTTGGGATATTGGCGATCACTCCCATGATGGCACTATCAAGAATGAGATGGGCCAGGGGTCAATGGGTGAGGCTGTGGGTATCCCTTCCCCAACCATGTTCAAACTAGTTTCCCCAACCCTAATCAGAATGGCTCTATGGTTAGCAAGTTTAAATGCACAGGGCCAGAGGTCGGAGTCTCATAGGGCAAAGCTCACTCGCGATGTTCAGCATCTTGAGGTGGACATATGCCGTTTATAGGAGATCTGGTTTTCAACTTCCTGAGAACATTCTGTCTAGGGAGTTTACCTTCTATTCAGCATGTTTTGATGGATGCTTGAGGTATTTCCTGGCTGGTGAGCAAGTTTGTGGATGTGGCCTGAGCTCTTGTCTTCGTGGATCCGGCGGGCAGGCTTTGTGTGCTGGATATTACCATAAAGGATAAGGCTCTTTGTTTTATTGGTGTTTATGTGCCCAATGACCAGGTGGAGCAACCCGATTTGTTTGGCAGATCGAGCCATTTTTGATGACATCACATTCGGTAGTTCTAGCAGGTGATTGGAATGCCGTCCTTGATCCTGATATAGATCTGGGAAAGATCAGGTACTAACAACTCAGATGTTAAGTCATTTTGGGACTTTATCGATGGGTTTGATATTGCCGATAAGTACCAAAATGAGCACCTAGAACAGGTAATATGGACTTGGATTAAGAGTGATAGCTCAAATTCTGTGGTGCATTGTAACTACATAGACTGAGTCCTAGTTAAGATAGTTGATGTAGGGCTTTTACAATGTCCAAGTTTCTATGATATAGTTTACTTGGATCATAGGCTTGTCTGGTTTCATGTAAACTTATGGTTAAGATGGCTAGCTTCTGGAAATTGAATGCATCATTTGGTGAGCAAGATTTCTGGGACCAGCTACTACTGTTACAGTGGGAATTGACATGGGCTGTAGTTGGGAATAAGTGGTGGGATCTTTTAAAATCTAAACTTAGGTCTTTTGCTGTTGATTTTGGTCACCAACTCAATCTAGCAGGATTAGCGGTACAAAAGGCATGTGTAGAGAAAGTAGATTGGGCGATCAAATTCTGTGATAGTGGGGACGTAGCCTTAGCTAAGGCAGAGCTGGCCTTGTAGCTTATCAAGTAGGATTAAGCTCTAGTAGTTACGGCTATGTTAAAAAGGTCTTCCGAGGCAATGAACATGGCCGCTGAAATGCATGTAGAGGAAGCTCAAAAGGCATCCAGTAGACACATCATAAGCATCACATTACCAGACAAATGGACTGTGACTACAGATGTGGGCATATGTGAGCCTTTCTGAGATTACTTTCAGAATCCATTTTCCAGGGAGCCTGGTCTGAGCCCTGCTCAGTTTTACACCTATTTGGCTAACTTTCCCCACCTCAAGGCAGCTGAAGCAGCTAGGTGTGAGGTCTCATTACAGAATCTGAGATCTAGGATGCGCTGAAGCAGGTTGGCCTGGACAAAACTACGGGATTAGATGGTCTTCCTTACAAAATGTACTTGAGGCAGTCGCCAGTCTTTGTCCCCTTGCTGGCACTGATTTACCACAACGGGATGAAGTTGGGGTCTATACCTCAATGCTTCACCAGGAGTGTGATTAAGTTGCTTTGCAAGAACAAAAATGGTGGGGATGGGATAGATAATTATCAGCCTTTGACAATGTTAAACACAAAGTTGAAGATCTTAGCCAGCCGTTTCTAGTCTGATTGGTCCTGAGCAGACTTTTGCCATGAAGGGCAGGACTATTCGAGACAATCTTCATTTGGTATACTTGATCATTGAGCAAGTTGACAGCGATGATGTGCTGATCAATTTAGATCAGTCCAAGGCTTTCGATAGGATCGATTATTGGTTTCTGGAGACTGTCTTTTCGGTCACCGGTTTCAGGCCGAACTTTCGCATTTGGATCTGACTTCTGTATGTAACTCCTGGTGTACTGGTGGAACTGAATGGAATGAGATCAAAACCTTTTGTATTGTCTCACTCCACTCATCAAGGTTGTCCTCTTTTGCCTTTGCTGTACGTTCTTGTGTTGGAGCCCTTTCTTCGCAAGTTGAAGACGAGTTTGGTCCCTCATGGAATTTCCCTACCTGGTACCACCACCACCTCAGCCAGGTACTCCTCTTATACTGACATTTTGATTATTGTGTTGAGCAGAGCCAAAATTGATGAAGTCAGCTAAGAAATAGGGTATGAGAGGGACAGGGACCAGGATCAACCATAAGTCTGTTAGCCTGCGGCTGGGGTCATGGAGGGGGGGGTTCTCTTCCAGGACTTTTCTTCTGGACGGATAGTCTGGTCAATATACTCGGCATTTGGGTAAGTTCTGAGATCCTCTTAGAAAAGATTTGGTCAGAAGTGAGAGAGAAGGTCAAGGTCACAGTTCATCAGTGGTCCTGGAGGAATCTTTCCTTGAAGGGGAGGGCAGAAGTATGTGGCATGCACATCTACCAGATTCTCCTTTACCAACTCTGTACTTCCATTCCATCTGCTATTCTATTGTGTTTGGTAAAGCTCTTGTTCTTCTTGTGAGGAGACAAGTATCCCAAGGCATGTCGTGAGATCTGTTACCTCCAACCTTCTGAAGGTATACCTTGTGTTAAGATTTGTCGACATACACATCTCATCTCTTACCTAAACCACAGGTGTTTGCAATTAGATGAGAATGACAAATTCTGGAAGGAAGATGCTTGTAAGAACTTTCCATCCTTAAGTATGCACTTGTGCGAGGAGGAGGAGACCAGCTGTTTACCCAGAGGTGAGAGTTCCTAGCGCAAATGCCAGCTTGCACTCAACTCAAGTACTTCTCTGGCTTCCAGCTGTTGTTCCATAAGGCATTATATCAGGTGTTAGTTTGAGGAGGGGCATTCATGAAGATCTGATAGGTGATC